ACCCCCTGGGGCGGGGCCAATTTTGACCCCAGGGCTTTTATTTGAACAAACTTGGTAGACACTCACTAGAAGATGTTTCATGCTTAATATCTAAACTCTAGCTATTTGGGTTTTTTTCAAAGAAGATTTTTAAGTTTTTGCTATACACATATAAGGAAAATCAATGACCCCCGGGGCGGGGCCAATTTTGACCCCAGGGCTTTTATTTGAACAAACTTTGTAGACACTCACTAGAAGATGTTTCATGCTTAATATCTAAACTCTAGCTATTTGGGTTTTTTTCAAAGAAGATTTTTTAAGTTTTTGCTATACACATATAAGGAAAATCAATGACCCCCGGGGCGGGGCCAATTTTGACCCCAGGGCTTTTATTTGAACAAACTTGGTAGACACCCATTAGAACATGTTTCATGCTAAATATCTTAGCTCTAGCTCTTTGAGTTCTTTAAAAGAAGATTTTTTAAGTTTTTACTATATGCATATAGGGAAAATCAAAGACCCCCTGGGGCGGGGCCAATTTTGACCCCAGGGCTTTTATTTGAACAAACTTGGTAGACACTCATTAGAACATGTTTCATGCTAAATATCTTAGCTCTAGCTCTTTGAGTTCTTTAAAAGAAGATTTTTTAAGTTTTTACTATATGCATATAGGGAAAATCAAAGACCCCCTGGGGCGGGGCCAATTTTGACCCCAGGGCTTTTATTTGAACAAACTTGGTAGACACTCACTAGAAGATGTTTCATGCTTAATATCTAAGCTCTAGCTATTTGGGTTTTTTTCAAAGAAGATTTTTAAGTTTTTGCTTTACACATATCAGGAAAATCAATGACCCCCGGGGCGGGGCCAATTTTGACCCCAGGGCTTTTATTTGAACAAACTTTGTAGACACTCACTAGAAGATGTTTCATGCTTAATATCTAAACTCCAGCTATTTGGGTTTTTTCAAAGAAGATTTTTTAAGTTTTTGCTATACACATATAAGGAAAATCAATGACCCCTGGGGCGGGGCCAATTTTGATCCCAGGGCTTTTATTTGAACAAACTTGGTAGACACCCATTAGAACATGTTTCATGCTAAATATCTTGGCTCTAGCTCTTTGAGTTCTTTAAAAGAAGATTTTTTAAGTTTTTACTCTATGCATATAGGGAAAATCAATGACCCCCTGGGGCGGGGCCAATTTTGACCCCAGTGCTTTTATTTGAACAAACTTGGTAGACACTCATTAGAAGATGTTTCATGCTAAATACCTTAGCTCTAGCTCTTTGGGTTCTTTAAAAGAAGATTTTTTAAGTTTTTACTATATGCATATAGGGAAAATCAAAGACCCCCTGAGGCGGGGCCAATTTTGACCCCAGGGCTTTTATTTGAACAAACTTGGTAGACACTCACTAGAAGATGTTTCATGCTTGATATCTAAACTCTAGCTATTTGGGTTTTTTCAAAGAAGATTTTTAAGTTTTTGCTTTACACATATCAGGAAAATCAATGACCCACGGGGTGGGGCCAATTTTGACCCCAGGGCTTTTATTTGAACAAACTTTGTAAACACTCACTAGAAGATGTTTCATGCTTAATATCTAAACTCCCGCTATTTGGTTTTTTTCAAAGAAGATTTTTTAAGTTTTTGCTATACACATATAAGGAAAATCAATGACCCCTGGGGCGGGGCCAATTTTGACCCCAGGGCTTTTATTTGAACAAACTTGGCAGACACCCATTAGAACATGTTTCATGCTAAATTTCTTAGCTTTAACTCTTTGAGTTCTTTAAAAGAAGATTTTTTAAGTTTTTTCTTTATGCAAATAGGGAAAATCAAAGACCCCCTGGGGCGGGGCCAATTTTGACCCCATGGCTTTTATTTGAACAAACTTGGTAGACACTCACTAGAAGATGTTTCATGCTTAATATCTAAACTCTAGCTATTTGGGTTTTTTCAAAGAAGATTTTTAAGTTTTTTGCTATACACATATAAGGAAAATCAATGACCCCCTGGGGCGGGGCCAATTTTGACCCCAGGGCTTTTATTTGAACAAACTTTGTAGACACTCACTAGAAGATGTTTCATGCTTAATATCTAAACACTAGCTATTTGGGTTTTTTAAAAGAAGATTTTTAAGTTTTTGCTATACACATATAAGGAAAATCAATGACCCCCGGGGCGGGGCCAAATTTGACCCCAGGGCTTTGAACAAACTTGGTAGACACCCATTAGAACATGTTTCATGCTAAATATCTTAGCTCTAGCTCTTTGAGTTCTTTAAAAGAAGATTTTTTAAGTTTTTACTATATGCATATAGGGAAAATCAATGACCCCCTGGGGCGGGGCCAATTTTGACCCCAGGGCTTTGATTTGAACAAACTTGGTAGACACTCATTAGAAGATGTTTCATGCCAAATATCTAAGCTCTAGCTCTTAGGGTTTTTTAAAAGAAGATTTTTTAAGTTTTTCCTATTGGTTGCCATGGCAACCAGAGTTTTTAATGGAATTTAAATTTTTGAACAACTTTGAAAGGGGTCCACCTAAGGATCATTTCTGTAAAGTTTGGTTGCAATTGGCCATGTGGTTTAGGAGGAGATGTTGTTTGAAAAGTTTGACGCCATTTTTTGAAGGACGCACGACGCACAGACGCACGACGGACGCAGAGTGATGACAAAAGCTCACCCTTGAGCACTTTGTGCTCAGGTGAGCTAATAAAATGAGCCGCGTCATGACAAAACCAACATAATGGGTTTGCGACTAGCATGGATCCAGACCATCCGCGCAGTCTGATCAGGATCCATGCTGTTCGCTATCAGTTTAACAGCATGGATCCTGATCTGACTGTGCGGATGCGCAGGCTGGTCTGGATCCATGCTGGTCGCAAAACCATTATGTTGGTTTTGTCGTGACGCGGCTCAAATATATGTGATCCGGGATGACGTAAGTTAATTATGGTTGAATATGTAAGGTATAAAAAATTGTTTTATTATATTCTTATAAATGAAATATTGATGAAATAAAACGCGTATTTTTATTTTCTGTATTTTCACTCTGCAGTGAAACATATTTTCCGTATTTTCACTGGTGTCTTGCCAGACTACTTTCTTTTTAATTTAGTCAATAGACAAGAAAATGGAACACTGTACAATTTACATAGTAAACAGAATTTTCATTTTTTTTCTATAATTCCATTTAGTGGTATGAATATTATATTTCACTCGTGGCTTCTGCCACTCCTGAAATATTAATTTTGATACCACTTGATGAAAATAAATCCTTTATTTATAGAAGAAAAAAAATATCGTCTATTTATTTAATTTTACCCATGAAATATGGTGCTATATCAGTCAAATATATTTCATATTTTTTAAAAATTAATATGAAATATAAATATGAAAGTGGGCGGAGTCAAAACTCATATTTATTTTAAGGGACTTCTTTCGCCGTTTTGTTTGAAAAATCTGATAAATACAAAACAACTTTTTCTTGAATATTGTTTTGAAAACTATCTAGCATGATAGAAAATGGTCTAACTAAGAAAATTAATCCGAACACCAATATCTTTAATTCAGTAATTAACGCTGTACAGACGTTTAAAGAGTTGTTTACATGACGTCACAATGTAGCGCCAAACAGCGCGTGCTTACGCATAAATTACTGCGCGCTGTACAATTGCAGTTGGTAGCAAGCAAGGGAATTCGTTACCATTTTCTTTGATAATGAAATTAAATAAAAAGGTTATTTTTTCGTTTTTTGTGAAATATGGTATATATATTTTCACTCAACATGATAAAATGCCACATATTTTCACTCGCCGTACCGGCTCGTGAAAATATGTGGCATTTTATCATGTTTCGTGAAAATATATTCCATATTCTCACGCAAACGAAAAAATATCCTCTTAATATTTATCACATACCCAAAATAAAGACCGTTTAAAGTGAAATAAGAGTCATTTTTCATTGACGCGCCTATAGCATAACGCTCACATTTAGCGCGTCTTTACACTAAGTTTGTATAACGCTAATGACGTCACGTCAAAATATATGCACGGTCGTGCAATACCATAATTACGGAGTCGCAAAATCGGCACGGGTGTGTGATAAAAAGAAATAAGTACGAAATTATCATATAATATTGTAAACTAGCGACGTGACGGTAATGAGATGATATGAGATGAACGTTTTTTAATTCAGTATGACGTATGTAGCGTAACGTCGGGCGCTCTGCATCATGACGTCATCGAATCGTAACGCTATTTTTCACATACCCGTGCCGCTTTTGTGACTCCGTAAAAATGGTATTGCACGGCCGTGCATAAATCACATTTTGACGTGACGTCATTTGCGTAATATAAACATAGCGTTACTTTATTAAGACACGCTAAATGTTAGAGTTATACTCTAGGCGCTCAATGGATAATGTTTCTTTTCCACTTCAAACGATCTTTATTTTTGGAATATGATAAAAAAGAATATTAAATTCGTGTAAGTTAGATCTAATTACAGAATTTAACGAACTCGTTGAATAAAATAATATTATGCTCGCCAGAGGATCGCGTAAAATAATTTTTATTCAACTCGCTCAATAAATTCAGTATGAAACTCACACTCATTAAATATCCTCTATTTATCAAGCTGGTGTAATATAAAGAAATTAGTACGAAATAATCATATAAGCCGTGCCATAACAAAACCAACATAGTGCGTTTGCGACCAGCATGGATCCAGACCAGCCTGCGCATCCGCGCAGTCTGATCAGGATCCATGCTGTTCGCTTACCAACTCTATTGCAAGTGGAGAAACTGACAGCGAACAGTATGGATCCTGATCAGACCGCGCGGATGCGCAGGCTGATCTGGATCCATGCTGGTCGCAAACCCACTAGATTCTATGTTGGTTTTGTCATGACGCGGCTCAATTATGATATTAAAAGCGAGCGACGTGACGGTGATGAGATGAAATGGGATCTAACATTTGGAGGGAACGCTCTTTTTTTATGTCGTACTTTTAGATAGTATGACGTATGTAGCGTAACATTACGCGCTCTGCATTATGACGTCATCAAAGCGTAACGCTTACAACGTGTACAACGTTTATGCTTCTTAGTAGATCTAGTTCCGTAATATTTGTAGCGTTAAGCTACATTTTATACTGCCATATCACGTAAGCTTTAATGAAGTAATGATTGACGTCATACAACGTTTCGATGTTCTTTACAGAAAAATAGAAGGAAAATAAATATATATCAGGAAATTATACTTAATTAAACACTTACTCACTCAAATGTTTAATTAAGGAAATAATGAGAACCGTGTAAGAATAAGTTATGATTCACCGTGATATTTAAATTATCTTCTTAAAGGCGTCTATGATTCATTTAATACATCTAACAAGCTATATATACGTGTAGATACATCAATACATCTAGTATGATATATAGGCATTCGTAATCCCATCAAGGTCGTTGAAATAAATTGGTTACCTCATACAGTGTATAGGGATAATAATAATAGTGGTACATACACATGTAGTAGTTGTTGTGGTCGTTGGCGTCGTCGTGGGGAACATGGTAGTGGACTAGATGGTAGTGGACTAGGTGGTAGTGGACTAGATGGTAGTGGACTAGGTGGTAGTGGACTAGGTGGTAGTGGACTAGGTGGTAGTGGACTAGGTGGTAGTGGACTAGGTGGTAGTGGACTAGGTGGTAGTGGACTAGGTGGTAGTGGACTAGATGGTAGTGGACTAGGTGGTAGTGGACTAGGTGGTAGTGGACTAGGTGGTAGTGGACTAGATGGTAGTGGACTAGGTGGTAGTGGACTAGGTGGTAGTGGACTAGATGGTAGTTGAACTAGGTGGTAGTGGACTAGGTGGTAGTGGACTAAGTGGTAGTGGACTAGATGGTAGTGGACTAGATGGTAGTGGACTAGATGGTAGTGGACTAGGTGGTAGTGGACTAGGTGGTAGTGGACTACATGGTAGTGGACTAGGTGGTAGTGAACTAGATGGTAGTGGACTAGGTGGTAGTGGACTAGGTGGTAGTGGACTAGATGGTAGTGGACTAGATGGTAGTGGACTAGGTGGTAGTGGACTAGATGGTAGTGGACTAGGTGGTAGTGGACTAGGTGGTAGTGGACTAGGTGGTAGTGGACTAGGTGGTAGTGGACTAGATGGTAGTGGACTAGGTGGTAGTGGACTAGATGGTAGTGGACTAGATGGTAGTGGACTAGGTGGTAGTGGACTAGATGGTAGTGGACTAGGTGGTAGTGGACTAGGTGGTAGTGGACTAGGTGGTAGTGAACTAGATGGTAGTGGACTAGATGGTAGTGGACTAGGTGGTAGTGGACTAGATGGTAGTGGACTAGATGGTAGTGGACTAGATGGTAGTGGACTAGGTGGTAGTGGACTAGATGGTAGTGGACTAGGTGGTAGTGAACTAGATGGTAGTGGACTAGGTGGTAGTGGACTAGGTGGTAGCGGCAGCAGCCACAGTAGTTGTAAAAATAATGTACATGATAACAGGGTTCGTACAGTCTTGAAAAGGCCCTAAATTTTGATGTTTTTTTTCTCTTTTTAAAAGGCCATAAATTGCATGGCTGGCCCTGAAAAAGCCCCTAAATTTGCACTGTCTGGTCCTACATTACTATTTAAAGACCTTAGAATTTAGTTTGGAAACTATTTGGTCCGTTAATTATCAAAATCTAAATGATTTACAAGGCAATTGAGCGCCAAAATAAACATCTTTTTAATAACATATTATTCCCTGCGGGCCGAAGCCCGCAGGGTATTGGTACGCGTTTAATTTTTGAGGCATGGAGGAGCACGTGACCTGTTTTCGGTACATGGAGGAGCATGTGATTTGTAAACCGTACATGATTGGTTAATTGACCTATTCAAAAACCTAGCTAAATACCGTTTCCCGGTACGTTATGGATTTACCTCTAGGGAATCATTGTATATACACACACTGGTCTCTCAAATGACCGGTGTACACAATGCTAGGGAATTAGTCCGAATTACACCTAATTAAGAACATATCACTACTACGTTATATTTCTAATATCTATTATTATTTTACCGTTTAAGGTGGAAAAACTTGCATGATGTGTTTGAAAATAATCAATGTTTCTTTAATATCTATCTGAAATTTTACAAACAATAAATTGTTTATAGTGAAAATCCACAGAATTGTGGCATCTGCCATAATAGATATTTTCTGCGAAAACTTGTGTGTTTACTTTATTTTATTTTATCATATTATTTTTTTGCACGGAATTATTCATACAATGGTATTGTTTTATTTTCGACCAAGACCAAAGACCTTCTTCTATTGATCGATTATTGTCAACTATATTCCTGATACAAACGTTATTTTTTTTCTATTTTTTCCCCAAACAATGTTGAAAATAGTTAAATTAAATATCTTTAAATCATTATAAATGTTCCCCGCAGGAAACCATTTTACTTGTTCTGTCTTTTGGGTGAATAAATAAATAGTACATCTAATGATCTATATTAGCCCATCATCATGGCAATAATGAATGCAGCACATTGATAAGTAACTTGGTAGCATTACTTGTTGAAGGAGATCACTTTAAAGGAATTAACTGTTGTATGATAAACAAAGAACTACAAATCAGACTCATGTTTATGTCATGAAAATTAAGCCCTAAATTAAGTAATAAAGGCCCTGAAAGAGCCCCTAAATTTATGTATGAGAAGTCTGTATGAACCATGGATAAAGAAGATGATAGTGGTGATGATGATGATGAGATGACAATAATTTCGCGTATTGGGCAGGCAATGGCACAGACTTTAAATTGTCGACTGTTTGGTTTTACTGCGCAGGTTATATGGCGTCGAAACAGGAAAGGTGATTTTTTTGGTAACCTCGGGTGTTACAAACTTCAAAGCAACACCTGGGGACAAAACCATCTCATCTGCTAGAGCTAAGTGATGCATAGATTTCAGTTATTCAAACCCATTTGATCGCCCATTACGATCACTCAGAATAAACGGTGTCAACGCCTCAGTCGCAAGAGGATGTCAAATTCTTTTCCATAGTTTGCTATTTTGTTGTTGTTTCTGATTTTTATTGGGTTTGGGGTGGGGTTAAGGCACGCTGGCACTGTTAAGTTCATATTGTACTTCCCGGCTTTCCTTGTGGTGAAATATTTTCATAATAGTAGACCAAAATCTTAAATCTTGGAATCATGAATTGAGGTCTGAGTAATTTTCAAGGAAAGCGGAACTGTTTATGTTTTTATTATTGTTTTTATGTCTGCCAATCCACCTACCCAGCTTTCCTGAATAATTACCCAGTAATAGTTAAGGCCGATTGCAATGGAGAAATTTTGTCTGCGCCCAAGGATCAAACCATCGACCCCTGGACTACTATTCCGAAGCTCTTCTTATTGAACAAAGCAGCAAAGGGGGAACTGTTACAGGATAAGGGAACTGTAGTAAAGACAAACAAAACTAGCATTTCCAAAGAATTTATTGAAAATACCTAAAAAGAATGGGAAAAAAAGAATATAAAGAATTCGCACAGCGAATCTGGTTTCTTTTTTCCGAATAAATAAGATACAATAACAAATCTGATGATAAAGTGTCCTCAATAACAAATATTAGTGTAATACAAAATGTATGACAACACCTCAAACAAATCATAGAAAATAAAAGAAAATGAATGGAGTGATTGAATTATTAACAATATTGAAAGCGTTCAACCTTAAAGCTGCATGCCTCCAGATGAACCAAAATATTTCAAGAAAATCAAACTTGAGAAAAATGTACTCAGATTTTAAGAAAAGCAAACAGATTCAAGATAAAAAGTATTAAGTAATAATTTCCATGTTATGTGCGTTTTTACCCCATTTTTTTCCCAGTATGTTTCACCATATTTCTACTGCATTACTATCACAATAAAAGCTATTTTTTGCATATGTTGACTTATTTGGGGGGTAATTTACATGGATTGTAAGTGCTGTTTGCAATGTGAAAATTATTTCCTTTGTTCACTTCACAATATTTTACATTTTAATATATTTTCAAATTTTTCATGAATCAGGAGGCATGCAGCTTTAACTTGCTGAATTTTGTGTAATGGATTTGCCCTGCTTTGAATTTGGAACAGTCCATTGAAAAATTAAGGGATTTCAATATCAAAATACAAAAACATTGAGCTTCCAGCAGTTTAGAGCCTGGTCAGTATGCATCAAATGGCCTGGCTTTATACTGGTGGCAAACGCTTATCATTTTCAGTTCAAGCAGTTGAAGCAATACCTTAGGCTGTTGTTAGTTTCGATATTAAACTTTGGATATTAAACTTTGGAACTGTAAATCAATCGAATGAAAATTGTTTAAAGATACTCGCTAGTAACTGGAGTAAATGTTTTTTTTAAAATGTTCAATGAATTTCAATTTTACATAGCATATGATTTTTTGGCAAAGAAAGGAAAAACAACAGGGCCATGATGGCCCTGAGGTCGCTCACCTGTATATAGGCCCGCCCAATCCCCCCCCTCCCACAACGTTGCAGGGCCAATTTAACCCAAGGGCTTTTATTTGCACAAACTTGGTAGACACCCATAAGAAGATGTTTCATGCTAAACATCTAAGCTCTAGCTCATTGGGCTTTTTAAAAGAAGATTTTTTTAAAGTTTTTACTATAGCACATATAGTTAAAAACAATGACACCCCTGGGGCTGGGCCAGTTTTGACCCCAGGGCTTTTATTTGAACAAACTTTGTAGACACTAGAAGATGTTTCATGCTTAATATCTAAACTCTAGCTATTTGGGTTTTTTCAAAGAAGATTTTAAGTTTTTGCTATACACATATAAAGAAAATCAATGTTTGATGCTAAATATCTTAGCCATAGCTCTTTGAGTTCTTTAAAAGAAGAATTTTTTAAGTTTTTACTATATGCATATAGGGAAAATCAATGACCCCCGGGGCGGGGCCAATTTTGACCCCAGGTCTTTTATTTGAACAAACTTGGTAGACACCTATTAGAAAATAACATGTTTGATTCTTAAATATACTTGAAAGCTTCATTAAACTGTTTGCCTTACCAATTTTAAAAAGATCAGATTGGAAAAATGTTACTCAGATTTTAACATATGCATATCAGCAGGATAAAGATTCATATGAATTTCCCTGTGTTTCGGGCCATTTTACCCCAGGCTTTTTATTTGAGTATGTTTCACATATTTGTATGAATTACTATTCAAATAACTATTTTTTGATACTGACTTATATAATTTAGAGCCATTGAAGTCTTTTTGAATGTAATTTCCTTTTTAATCAAGATATTTTACATTTTTATATATTTGCATATCAGGAATCAGGAGCATGAGCTTTACCGCTGAATTTTGTTAATGGATTGCCTCTTGAATTTGACACCCAGTTAGGCTTTTATTTGAAATACAAAACTGTCGCGTAGACCATGTCAGATATGCTTGTCAGGCTGCTGAATTTATCTTAAAGCTTAGCATTTTGAGTTCAGTTTAAAGCAATACCTTTTAGTTTTTAGTTTCGATATAACTTGGCATATTAATTGGGAACGTAAATCACGAATGACAATTGCTTTACAACTCGGCTAGTACTGGGTAAGTTTTTTAATCGCCCAGGGATTTAATTTTAATACATATATTTGGTAAAGACGAACATATATATGGCAGGTATGATTTCACATGACATAAAACAAGAACTTAAGCTCTATTTCAAACGAAGAGTTTTTCAGATAAAAAAGAAATTTGATTAAAGATTGCATTTTCTTTTCGATTTCCATGTGTAACACAACATTTTGAACTTAATTAAATAAAATCTTGAAAAGTATTTTAAATGATGTACTACCAACAAATTCAGTAAGTTATGGAATGACAACTGTACTAGCATTTACTCGTAATTTTCACATAGTTAACTCCCTTGTTCTTAAAAAATAACAGTTCATTACCTAATGTGACTCATTAATCAAACCTTTTTCCTCATATTTAAAACTTTCCTTTCTGGGAAAATTGCTGTATGCTTTAAAAATGTCATCTCTTGGATTTAAAAATAAAAATGTTATCCAACAAGGACAACTGTAAAAATGATAAGTACCTGGTAAGACATTTTGTCTGGTACCACGCTCTTTTGCAAAGGCTATTGTAACTGCTCTAAGCAAACAAACAGTTTAAAAAACAGACATTCTTTAAAAAAAAGAACAATGGACAATTCTGTAACATAAGACTGGCACAGCCTGTATGGATATGTAAGTGGTAAAATATTACTGATGGTCCCCATCTACACATAAAATAATGGTGTTGCACACACATAATGCCACCACATGTATGTAAGGTTTCTAACACACTTGAATTAGTAAATAAAACACCATACTGACAACTTTTCAAACCTTGGATATAACAGGAAACATATTTGAAAGCTTTATGTCTCATGCATGTCACAGTTGTACCTTTAAGTAAAGACATTTGAGCCGGGTAATCAAAATGGGTTTGCGATCAGGATCCATGCTGTTCACTTACCAACTCTATTACATTTAATCTGC